CGACGCAGAACAGCGGGGTCCTTTGCACGGACATTGGCGCGCAAACTACCCGCGTTTGGTCGCGCGTGGCTAAGCGCCCTCAGTCCAGTTTGGCGTGCCGCGCTGGTGGTTCGCGTAAGCCACCGCGTGGGGTCGCTGGTCGCTGTGTCATCAAGCGTAAGACCCGGTTTTCTTCGTCACTCGTCTGGCAGCCTTGCCCCTCTTCAGAGGAGGGAAAGGTACCGATACCGCTACCATTGCCTCGCTTTTGTCTTTTGGGGTTTCCTGGGAGGCCCTGCCACCGTTGGATTCGTTTCGAATTCTTGCTCAGAGAAAACACCCCTGGACCTCTGCCAGGGAGCTGGACACGCTTGGCGCGGCGACGTCCAGGTGCGGAACTGGTGTAAGGCACCTCCCAGTGGTTCGTTTCTTGCTTCCTCTCTCCGTCGGTGAGACATGAAGGTCGGGCCGTCAGTGTCCTGCAATCGTCCCCTTGCTCTCCTGTTCATCTTCCTCCCTGCTCCACTGCCCATCCGTGCTGCTTCTCCTTAACTTTCCTCGCGTCCCGAGTCCCCCGTGGGCCGTCACAGGGGTCTTTGTGCTATTCTGCGCGGGTTCGCCGCGATATTCCGCGCGCGTGGAGTTGGTGCGTCGGTGCTTGCAGAAGCTATGAGCACCGGTGGTCTAGACCGCGAGAAAGAGCAGGATCCTCGACGCAGACACGCCATGTGCAGCGCTGGGTCCTATCCTGCATCTCCTCTCGTTTCCCCCTTCCCCCTCCCCCCCTGCTCCCACCCATCCTCCGACTTCTTGCTGCGGGACGATGAGGGGCAGGGGGTGGGGGGGGGGAGGCAGAGTGATGAGGAGCCGGAGCAGGTTCAGGAGGAGGAGAAGGAAGGAGGAGGAGAGACGACGAGGGGTCGGAACGGGCGGAGGAATAAGCGGGATGAACAGGGGGAGGAGGGTTGACAAGGCAAGGGAGGCGGAGAAGGACGAGGAGGAGGAGGAGGAGGAGGAGGAGAAGGGGACCTCTGCCCCGTCCGAGCTATCCCTGCCGTGTGGTCGTGCTGCTCGTCCAACTACCCATCCTGTCTTTTTCTTCTTCTTCGTTCTCCCACTCGGCATCGTCATCGTCATCGTCCTGCTCCCCCTCCAGAACCCCATCATTCTCTGTACCCTGCTCATGTTCATTGTCACCATGGCTGTCACCATCAGCGCCCTAGCAACCACAATCTCCTTGCGTTCCCTCATCCACACCCCTCTTCCCCCCTATCGCCCATCCTCGCCCCATTCGCTCGCCTCGTTTCATTTGCACTCACAGTCAGGGTAACCCGCAAGGGCTTCGCCCCCCAGCCGCCAGCCCCCCCTCTCTCGGAGAACGGGGTATGCAAGAGCTACGTTTTGAGGCCTGGGCGCCGTCGCGAAGCAGCGTCGGAACTCCGAACTGGGGCCACTTGGGTTCGGGTCCCCCGTCTCGGGTCGCTCTTGGGGCCTTTGTGGGCCGTCGTGGGGATCTCTTGAGCCGTCTTGTGGCCCTCTTGAGCAGACTCGTGGTACTCTTGAGAGCCTCTTGGGCCGTGTTGGGGCGGTCTGGGGGGGCCTCTTGGGCCGTCTTGGAGCGTCGGAAGCCCGAAACGGCGAGCGTGGAGCGTGGTTCGTTCTTGCTTTGGGCATAATGGGCTTTACAGCCCCCAGCGCCCCCCCCTTATGACGTAATGTTCCCCCCCCCAACGCGCCCAGGGCATTGCCGCCGTCGTGCGCATCGGGATCCGCATGGGTGTCCGCACAGAAATCCGCAGAGGGGTCTGGTCCGCTGTCGTCGCCGTCGTTGTCGTCGTCATCGTCGTCGTCGCTCCTCGCTTGTCACACGTTGCTCATTGTCGTCGTGCGCGCGGGCGCGGCTGGAGCCTTTTTTTCCGGGCCTGTGACGGCCGTCATCTGAGGTGGGGGGGACGGGGCCGTGGACGTCACGTTTCGCGTTGGCGGCGCCTGGGAATGCTTATGACCTAGGAGTGACCGAGGACGGGTAGCAGCAGCATGTAGGTGGCGATCCGCACCACAGCGCCTGTGTACACCGCCACAGTGCCTGTGTGCACCACAGCTCCTGCGTACACCACACAGCCGATGTACACCACAGCAGCCGCGTGCAACACAACGCCCGTGTGTGCCACAGTGCCTGCGAGGCACCACAGCGCTTGTTCACACTACAGCGCCTGCGTACAACACATCAGCCGTGTGCAACACAGCACCAGTGTACACCACAATGCCTGCGTGCACTACAGCGCCTGTGTACACCACGGTGCCTGTGTGCACCACAGCAACCGTGTGCAAAAGAGCACAACTGTTGCATATTGAGTCTTAGAAGGGCTCCTTATGACAAGCTGGAGCGCCTGTGGATTCCACAGAAAACAGTCGTTGCATATATGATTTGGAAACGAATCCTTACGGAAAAAGGAGCGCCGCTGGATTCCACGAGTCCTCCCGCATCATCCTAGCTCCTCCAATCTGCGTCCAGGAGGCTCCAGTTGAAGTGGCCATCCGAGAGCCAAGTTGACTGATTCAATAGACCATTCAGCAGTGCGCGCTGAGATGCGCACGTGCGCTGTAGCGCCGACCCGCACGACGCGGGGGAAGGGTGAGGGAGGAGGAGGAAGAGGAGGAGGATGAGGAGGAGAAAGAGGGGGAAGGAGGATGTGGAGGTGAAGGTGGAGGTGGAGGTGGGGGAAGGACGTCCCATTGTATCATCAACATTTCCCTGGCTTGGTGTTTGGGTGTCCGCAGCTGATCGTTTCTTACATGCTCATTCTACCTGTCCTGTGCACGCAGGCGCTGTGATGTACACCAGCGCTGCATTGCACACGGATGCTGTGCTGTAGACGGGCGCTGTGGTGTGCACAGGCGCTGCGGCGCACGCAAGCATTATGGTGTACGCAGGCTCTGTGTTGAACATGGTCGCTGCGGTGTACAGATTCGCTGTGGTGTACACCGGCGATGTGGTCCACGCGAGCCAGGCGCTGCGTTGCACACGGTTGTCGCGGTGTGCGCAGGCGTTGTGGTGGTGTACACGCGCGCTGTGGTGCACGCGAGCATTGTGGTATACACAGGCGTCGTGGGGCAGATCGCCACCTACATGCTGCTCCTACTTGGCCGTGGTCATATACATATAACGGCGCACCGGGTCCGGGGGCCCGGGGCCGGGACCCCGACCACAAATGTGAGCCCCGGGGGGCCCGGAGGCTCGTCGGGGCTTGCCGGAGGCCTCCCCAGTCAGACAAGACGGCCCAAGAAGCGCCCAAGACGGCCCAAGAAACTTCCAAGAGGCCTCCAAGAGGGCTCCAAGATGCTGAAGATGGCCTCCAGACGTCCAAGGACGCCCCCAAGACGCCCCAAGAAGCCTCCAACATGCGTCCCAAGAGGGCCCCTAGACGCAAACATTGGCCCATTCCCTTCGTAAAACGTACATTTTTCACAAAGTTGCTTTTTGGGCTTTCCGACGTTACAGGACGGCCCACGAGGCGCCCAAGACCGCCCCAAGACGGCCCAAGAAGCTTCCAAGAGGGCCCAAGGACAGCCCAAGAGGGCCCCAAGACGGCCCAAGAGGCGCCCAAGATGGCCCAAGAGGGCCCCAAGACGGACCCAAGAGGGGGCCCAGAGGGGGACCACGAACCGCACGCTCGAGCCTTCCGCCCCAAGAGGCCGCCAGGAGGCCCCAAGGAGGCCCCTCAAGAGGCCCCAGGAGACTCCCACCCAAGAGGCCCAAAGGAGGCCCCGAGAAGCCCCAAATCGGCCCCAAAAATGCTTCGAACCTGCTTCCAGGAGGCCCCCGACAGGTTCAGAGGCTCCCGAGAAGCTACGTCAAACTCCCAGCGATAATGATCCTAGCTAGAACCTAAGCGCGCGCGAAGCGCGCGCGTGGTTCTAGTCCGTATATATTCCTGGACGCCGCCGGCGCGGAACGTGACGTCATCTCGGGGGGGGAGGGCGGTGCCGAAGACGGCCAGTATCCTGGAACATACAAAAATATGCTCCTGTGATGCCGGAGCGACATGGCGGGGGGGGGCGTTGCGTGATACTCCCCCACGCCCCCCCCCCCGCCTATAACGCCCACGATCGCCGAAAATAAAGAAATGCGCTCGTGCCGCCGTCCACTAAAACCAAAGAACCACCGCAGATGTTTGCCTATTGTGCCCCAATTGGGGGTGCTCTTGGAGCGCTCTTGGGGGCCTCTTGGGGCCGTCGTGGGACCATCATGGGCGACATGGGGCACTCTTGGGCCGTCTCGGAGGCCTCTTGTACCGTTTTGGATTTTTTTTGTTTGAGGACCGTGGCCTCAACAGCGCGAGTATTTCGTACCTAGGAGGGATTATGTTTTCGGAAAGGCGAAGAATGCGTATCTTACGAGGGATCGTGGATTCGGGAACGCAGCTGTTGCTTAATGTATGAGAAAGTGGTACCTCGGAGACGCGAGTATTGCTTGACGGGAAAGTATTGTCTCGGTAGCGCGAACACGCTGTAATTTGCGAGGGTTTATGACATGGGGGTCGCGAGTATTGTGCTTGACTCGGGATTATGGCCTCGGGGGCGCGATTATGGCATAATGTATGCGGGATTATAGTTTCTGGCGCGCGAATCTCAAGTATTTTCACGTGCCCCAGGACCCCCCGGAATTTTTGAGAACCCCTCCAGGTGAAGGTGACCAAGGCCCTTTTCGGTTTCCCCCCCCCCCTCGCGCGGACTCCACTAATTCACAGTAGAAAGCAGAACCCTGAGTTGTAACATCGGAGACTGGAAATTGGCACTGGAGCAGGGGGCAGCAAGCCTAATCCGCGATGGCCCCACAAGGGGGTTGGCTGATCTGCTTGGTCCTTCAGCATTGAAGGTATCGCTGGCACCGTCACTGCGCCATAAGCATGTTGGCTAAAAACAGGTTGGCATCAGATGTTTTGCTTCAGACTGGGGTGGGAATCGAGCAGTTCGGCCTGGTGCTCTCCAACTGCGAGTAGCAGTGAACGCCCTGGAGGATGACATACCCGCAGCTCTCGCCAAGGGTTGGGACGACCAGTCAGGTACCCGATGAGCTCTTAATCGAGTTGAACAGTAAGCTGGCGGAGGAATGCGAAGAGCACCAAGCGTTAACCAAGAAGATGATGGACGATAACCGCATGGCTGTCCAGTCCCAGTTGGACGATATGCGTCGGACGTTCCAGGACATGTTCGACGACCACCGCAAGAGCACGGAACTCGTGATCGAGGAGCACCGCAGGACGTCCGAGCAGCGGCTCCGCGAAGTGTCCCAGACGTGTCAGCAGCTGGATATCCAGTTGGGGCGGACCATGGCGGAGGAGAGAGCCGCCGTGCAGGGCGCCCTGCAGGCGGTTGCCCAGGTGCTCCAGCGCGAGCGCGCTGAGAGCCGCGTAGACATGCAGCACGCCATGGCCGCGCTCCGGAACGGCCTGCCCAGCGAGGAGCCGCCCTGCTCCAGCAAGACCGCCGATGGCGAGGCGCTGGCCGTTACCCCGGGGCAGCTGGACGCCGCTTTAGAGGCCCTCCGCAGGGAGCTCCAGCAGCAGCTCTGGGCCTCCTAGATGGGGTCCGAGTAGATGGGGTCGGAGGATCGCGCCGCATCGCCGATGCATCGCCGATGCGGCGCGATGCGGAGCCCGACTTTCTCAGCGCGGGCGTCGCCGATACACCACTGACGTCGCCGATGCATCGCCGATGCATCGCCGATGTATCGGTGATGTGGCGCGATCCTCCGACCCCATCTACTCGGACCCCTATCTAGGCGGCCTCTAGCAGCGGGATACCGCCTCGCATCCGAAGAAGAGGAGACGACAGAAGCATAAACTGTCGGAGCGCCGCGCGAAGTTCTTGGATCGGCGCTGGGCCCCCGTGGCGGCGCCGCCAGCGCCGTCACTGGTGCGTTCCGCGCGCAATGGCGGGGGGTCCAGCGTAGATCCAAGAAATCCGCGCGGAGTTCCGACATGTTCTGATTCTGCCGTGTGTTCTTCCTGTGCACATGCGAGCCCGGCCCTCGAGCTGGGCGGACCTCCCAAAGAGCTCAGCCCGCGAGCCGACCACGAGCTCGTCGCCATCGAAGGCGATGCGGGTGGCGGCAAGGACAGGGCCGTCATGGCAGCGCGCCAGCACGGCGGGGCGGAGTGCCAGGATGCCGATGGCGAGGCATCCGAAGTGTGCGACCCAGAGGAGGAGGAGGTCGCCTTCGCCGGGAGCATCTGGGACGCCGCGGTGTTCATCGGGTGCCCGCAGGTGGGCGCATGCGCATCTGCGTTCACGGTGTTCATGCTCCTGATCAACATCGGAATGCAGGCGCTGTTCTGCCTTATTGTAAACGACAACCTGACTCATTCTGCAATGTATTCAGAAACAGTTCAAGATTTCAAAGACTGGCGGACGACGATAGCGCACAACGTGAAATTTGTGGATTCCCTCACTCACCGATCTCTGGCAAGAAAAGTTTGCAGCTTCAGGGATGCCCCGCTATCTTCTGGACCAATCGCTGGGCTTGCGGCGATTAGCCAGTACAGTCCTCTTGAAGAGGAGAAGCAGTATCACGACACGCCGCCGCTCGGATATTGGTTCCCGCTCGCTTATTCAAGATGCCTGCGGCGTGTCATTGCCAACCCTGGGCCGTGTAAAAATGAGGCATTTGTGGCGCATCTGTGATGTTAAACTCATTCGATTGCGGAGTTGGGTGATCGTTCTCTCAAGTGTTGCTGGGATGACCAGAGAATTAGAGGGATCCAAATTCTTGGGCACGATTCCAGCAGCACGTCTCTAAGTTTTTGTCTGCATCAATTGCTCCGAAATGACGTACATAAGTTTCCGCACGTGCTTCAATTATATTGGAGACGCCGTGTGTGGCCGTCTTTCGGCTTAGTGTGCCTTACTCGCGGTTTCTTGGAGCCTTGTTGCGTTGTCTTGGGGCGCTCTTGGGCAGTCAGAGTCAAGTGTCCTTCGAGGTCGGAGCACCCTGACGTCTCCTCAGGCTGCCGACGAGAAGGAGAAAGGTGGGAAGCCTTCCCAGCAGGAGGCGCTTGGAGTGGTTACGCTCCCCATTTCGCTCATCCTGTGGTTGGGCCGCTGGAGCTGTTCGCGGTTCGCGGTTCGCATCTTCAGAGCCCATGGTTATCCTTGTCTTCCTTTTCTTGTTTCTCCTCTGCACCCCATCCTGTCCATCCCTTCCTCATGCCCATCCTCCTGATGCTTATCCTCCTCTGAGTACCCATCGGTCGTTGAAAGTAGGCATCTTTGGATTCTCAGATCCCGATCTACTCGAAGCGCTTTCGTACTTCAATGATCGAGTGGCTTCACCTTTTCCGTCCTCTTCAGGGGGCGGGCGGACACCGAATCTATTTTCAAGCCTTCCTACTTCACGTTTCTACCTACTTTTTCCGACCGATGGGTACTCCATTTCGTACCCTGAAGGGCGCCTTCGAGGGCACGAAGTTATTCGCGCTTCGCGGTTCGGCTCCGATTCCTCTTCTTCCTCCTCTTCTCCCTTGGGAGGCGGCGTGAGAGCGCGAAGTTATTCGCACTTCGCGCTTCGCGCAGCGCGAAGCGCGAAGCTGGGTGCTCTTGATTTTCCGACCGATGGGTACTTCATTTCGTACCCTCGCTCAACCCTCACGTTTGCTCGAGCTCCTCCTGGGCGTGGCTCCAGGGAGCCGCCTCCTTCTCCCCTCTCGCTCCACGTCCCTGCCCGCTTTTACGCCTCCCCCTCCCCCTCCATCTCACTCGTGATCTTCAGGAGGGAAACAAGCACACAGACACAATTGATAGTCGATCCCCCAAAAAGTATGGGGAAATATGGGAAGTGGGGGGGGAAGACAAAAACCCAGAACATAGGGGAAAATAGTGCGAATCCTGTTATTTGTGTGTATTTATTTGTGTGTCCCAGGGCCCCTTCAGATCTTTCCGCCTCCTCAGTTCCTTGCCATCTCGCGTATCACGTATGCTCCTCACTCCCTCCTCATTCATCCACGTCCTTCGCCTCGTCACGTTTTTTTTCCTGAGAGCACCCAAGTGGTCCCACCCAAGGGTATGAATCCATGAATGGTTCAAACGCAGTTGGAGGAGACTTCCCGCTCTACATGGACATCCGACTCCCTTTAAGAAATGCCCCGTATGGGTTCCTACCTGAGGGTCCGAAGTCGAACAGCTATTCGCACGCCCTGTGAACATTCAGGTGGAGTGGACCTCAATTTCTCCCGGAGGCTCTCGAACTCTCCACAAGCGTCCTTCTGGGTCTGTGTGTTGCTTGGTGGCTGCCCTGACCGCCTCAGACAGAAGAAGAGCAGGATGAGGATGACAAGGGAGAGGATCACGCGAGAAGGAAGTGGAGGATGTGTTCAACCAGAGCGGGGGGGGCAGTCGAAAAGGTTCCGTTCGCCTCATCCTTCTTATCCCTCCTCCTTATTGTGAAGGCCTTACGGCCGGTGCCGCCGACCTAGAAGGACGACGACGACGACGACGACGACCACGACGACAGCGACAACGATGAGCTGATGACCCTGCCACAGGCTCGGGGCATGGGACGGGCGGCGGAGGGAGCAGGAGGAGGAGGATGAGGAGGAGGCGGAGGAGGAGGCGGAGGAGGAGGAGAAGGGGGAGGGGGAGGGGGAAGGGGAGTGGGAGGAGTAGGGAGTAGGAGGAGGAGGAGGAGTAGGAAGAGGAGGAGGCGGAGGAGGAGGCGGAGGAGGAGGAGGAGGAAGAACAGAAGGAGAAGGAGCCCCGTCCTCCTTGTTTGACCTTGCTTGGGGGTCCAGTGGAGGGTGGCGCACGCAGGTCCGAGGAGACCCCGCCTCTCCAGGATGCCGGCAGGCGCGCAACTGTGCGGCCGGACCGAGGTATATATGATCGAGGTCGGCTCGGGGAGGTTGCCCTGGTGTTCTGCGTGTGTGGTGGAATTTTGTTGTGCATCCTGGAGGAGGGTGCCCTCGATTGTCCTTCAGTTTTGGCCAGCGGAGTGTATCGCGTTCTTGAAGGACGGTATTTCGGTCCCAGGTCCAGCCGCATGGGGGGGGGAATGATTCAAACAAGCGTCGGTGAAGTTCGGACGTGCCTTCACGTCGGTGAAGTATGGACGTGTCTTCAACCGGCTGTCATCGGATGTTGCGGGGCAGGATCGAAGCGAAACCGAGCTACCCAACGGGGACCTCGGTTTCGATGTCGGTTCGTGTCGTGCGTGACGTGCGTGCGGGGGAGGCGAGGCTCCGCGACAGGTCCCGGTCTGGTCAGGGCAGGTTGCCTTCGGATTGCACAGCGGGTGGTGGTTGGCGGGTTGTCTTGCGGTTGTCCTGCGGTTGCTCTGTGGTTGTCCCATGGTTGGTTTGTAGTTGTAGGTTGTTTGTGGTTGTTTCGTGATTGTGACTTGGTTGTCCCAGGGATATACCGTGGTTGTTCCATCGTTGTCCTGTGTTTGTCTCGTGATTGTCCCGCGGTTGTTTTGTAGTCCCGATGGTAGTCCGGATGGTGTTTCACGGTTGTTCCGTAGTTGTTCCGTTGTTGCCACGCGTTTGTTGCGTGTGGTGTGTCGTGATCGCGGGTTATTTCGATGGTAGCATCGATTGTTGTTCCGACGGTTGTCCCGCGGTTGGTCTCGATGGACACATAGGGGTATCGATGGATACATACGCATCTGGAGAGCGAGAGTGATCGTACCGAGACCGCTAGATCAAACGATCGCGAATCCGATCCGACGTCAATCACAAAGCGAAAGCTCCCCAACCCAATCCCCTTCTCTCCCGAGGGCTTGTCCTGAAGGCATGCGTCATATGAACTGTCCTCTCCCCGCCTTCTCACTCCTTCTCCCCCTGGTTCTTGGTTCCGGGTGGGCCTGAGTGGGTTGATCGAACTAAATAGACAGGCCGCCGTGTGACCGGTTGTGAATGGTGTGTATATGCTGTGTATACATAGACATTTGTACATACGAGGGTCGATGTGACAAAAACGACAGACAGAAAAAAGAGAAGCAGGGAAGACAACTAGTGATAATCCCAACAATCACAAGAAGAATAGTAAGAATAAGGACGAGCATGTCCATCCCCCTCCTCCCTTCCGTCCTCGGAGCACGGGGAGGAGAGGAGGCGTGGGCTGGGAAAGGGAAAAGAAGGAGACGTGGGGAGGACGGCCCGCCCCACGTCTCCTCCCTCCCCTTCCATGTTTGTTTCCGCGGTGCGCCCTCTCTGCCGTCATGCCACGGCCAGACCAAGGTATGAGACCGGACCCGGCTCGGGGAGGAGGCGGGAGGGGAAGGCGGAGGGGGAGGGGGAGGGGGAGGAGGAGGAGGAGGAGGAGGAGGAGGAGGAGGAGGAGGAGGCGGAGAAGAGGAGGAGGCGGAGAAGGAGGAGGAGGAGGAGGAGAGCCCTCCTCATTTAACCTTCCTTGGGGGGTCCAGTGGATTGATGGGTGGCGCACGCAGGCCCGAGGAGACCCCGCCTCGCCAGGATGACGGCAGGCGCGCAACCGAACGGTCGGACCGAGGTATGAGATCGAGGTCGGCTCGGGGAGGTTGCCCTGATGTTCTTCGGGTTCGTTGGAAGCTCTTGTGCGTCCTTGGGGGAGGATACCCTTGGATGTTCTGTGTGTTTTGGCCGGCGGAGGGTCTCGCGTCCTTGGAGGATGTTATTCCATTCTAGGTCCGATTGTATCCCTCTTCCGTGCCCCCATTTAATTCATTCGGCCATGTACATGTCCCGCTACCCTTGCTCATCCTTGAATTCTTCGGCGTCTGAGCGTCCCTTCTTCCTCTCGGCCGTCCCCCCTTCCCTCTTTGCTCGCCGGTCAATTCGCTACTTAGTGCCCATATCTAGCCTCTCGCTGGAGCGGAGTTCGCCGCCTCGCCGCTTCGCCGCTGACGAAAAAAGTGTCCCGTTCTCGTCCCAAAAGGTTGTCGTGATGGGTCCACCCGTGGGCGTAGTTTCCAAGGGGGCGTGGCCTCGGTTGCTCGAAATTCTGGTCAGGGCACACCCTGGGAGAGGTCCTGGGAGTAGCGGTATCAATGCAGTTTGGTTTCGTCAGGGTCCATTGTTTTTCTTCAACGGTAGATCGTGTTTTCGAGAGCGCGGAGTCGTCGTCTCTTTTGCCATGGACGCGTTGCTTCGGAATTGCATGCCAACAGTTCTCTCCGAGGGATCGTGGCCTTTGGAAAGTTTTTTCCGTTTGTTAAAAAATGTGTGTATATACCATAGAATCGCGAGCACGGGACCGTGTGTCCGTTTTTCTATGACGGGGGATCGTCGCCTCGTGTTTGTTCGACAGGTCGTGGCTGCGGGAGCGAGTTTTCATCGTTCGGTTTACGGTGTAGCATGTCGTAAGGGACTGGGGTCAATAGCTCTTTCCAAGGGGTCGTGGCGCTGGAAGCGCGGAGTCACTGCTTTGATGAATGATCATAGCCGTCGGGGCTCAAAACCGGTTTTTTACACGGGGTCGGGATCATACGTAGGCTGTTTTTCGAGTCCCAGGACACCCTTTGTTTTGGGGGATTTGGTTCAGGTGTTGCGAATTCTGTTCGGGGCCAAGGGGGCCGCACACGTTTAGACACCGAGCGTTTCATAAATGGAGGAGTTGATTATGTTCGAACTTACGAGGCGTCAGGAATCTGTTCGGTTCGAATGAAGGCATGGTTTCCAATGTGCCAAGTTGCGAGCAAGACTACAATCTGAAGCCTGCTGCAGATTTGCCGATCAGAACTACAAAAGCTCCTCAGTTGCTGAGGCCTCATTCGGTCTGCCGAGTGGCCCTGACAAGGGGAGCTGACGGATCACAAAGATGTAAACGTCGGCGAGTTGATGTGTGGCGTCTCGGTTGTCCTCTGGTGGTTTGCAGTCTTGAAAGAGATTTACTCCATTGTCGCCCTGTGCCAGGCGCTTTTCTTTCTCCCGTGCCGTCCTACAAAAATATCCAGCACCTCGGGCGCACACGCACTGGTGGCGGTGTCACTCCCGCGCAGAGTCGTGTTTTGCACTGTGATTGTTGTGCGGTCCATGGTATGTTTTGCCCTGGCTGTGTGCGGCACGCTCTACCTCGCCGCCACGCTCTCGCTCGGCGATCTGCTGCTGAACGCCCTGGCACTGGAAATCGTGCTCTCCCTGGACGAGCTCACCTTCGATGTCTTGGCGCCCCGTTCCGTCCGGCTGCTGCTCTCGTCCATGGCCCCCCTTGCGAAGCCCCGCAGCCGCTCGTGGCGCGGATTGGACGGCAGGCCTGTCCTCGCGCTCGCCGTCATAGGCGTCTCGATGTATGGCGTCTTTCAGTTTATCCTGCGCGACCAGTCTACCACTCTCGGGCTGAACGAAAGGGGGGGATCGGGAAAGGGGGGGTCACGAAATCTGCTGCATGCAGCTGGTTTCGGCCCCGCCGCCGGGCCCATTCCTTGATACATGGGCGCCTCCCGGCGCCGGGAGGCGCCAGGAAAATCAGTTTCGTGAGCTGATTCTCAAACACCCCCTTTGCTATCCCCCCTGTCGCCCGGCCCGACACTCTCGAGGCTGCACGGCACGAGCTCTGTGGTGGGAATTTGGACTTCGTCGCCGGCGTCACCAACACCGGCTTGGTGGCCGCCTTCAGTCCCGGGGCCAACTACCATGAGGCGGTATCGGACACGGAGTTCCTGAATGCCCAGTACGAGTACCGCGCGTTCAGGAGTCTGATTGAAAATGAAAGCGATGCGATGGCGACCGTTTTCGAACGTTCCTTAACCGACTTGGCGTACGGCTTCAAAGGTAGCCGGCACACGGTGGAGGGCAGGGTTCTTCAGGACGTGGAAGCTTCTACCTTCGAGTTGAACGTGTTATGCGTAGACCTGGACTACCCGGGCTCGGAGGTCTGGGCGACCCTCACGGACATACTCGACTCCATCGAGTTTGCGAGAAGTAAGGGAAGCGAGGGCGATGTCGGGAACGATTTTGGGGCGTGGGAAGGGCCCTTCCGCTCCTGCGCGGACGTGCAGCCCGTGTGTGGCGAGGAGAGCACCCTGGGCACTCGCGCCAGGCAGTTCTGCCCCGAGACCTGCGGCTGCGATCACCCTGCCAGCGCCATCGCCCTCTTCACCCCAGAGCACGGCTGTCCCCGCTCCTGCACCAGCGGGGAGCGGTGGTTGCAGAAGCTTCGCGAGATCACCTGTTCGGACTGGACCCCAGAACAGCCGCGGATCTACAATGGGACAGATTGGTACCAGGTCGCCGTGAGGAAGAGGGGTCCTGAGGCCAAAGGGGTCCTGCATGTTTTCAGCGTTTTCGGCCTCCTGGGGTCCTTCCTGGGCCCGAGGATTGTCCAGTCCAGATGATTTCGTATGAAGAACTTATATCGGGGGAAGCCCTGAGGTCCAGGGCCCGTTTTCCTCAGGGCCGCTCCCCCCCATGGCGACCCAGGGGGTCGACATGCTGCAAACCTACGCGTGGGGTGTGCTCGTAACGGGCTGGCCGCCAGAGTTCTTGGCAGAAGTGACAGAGGAAATGTTCAACGCCCTGTACGGCATCGGTTGCGCTGGAGCTGTCGCGGCCATGGTAGCCTACGACCCGTTGGATCCCGCTCCGTGGCAGTTCGGGAACCTGTGCGAGGAGACCAACTCGTACGGCTTCCGGCCAATAACGGCCATCTGCCCAGTTGCTTGCGGTTGCCGAGAGACGCACGCGTTACTCTGCCCGGCCACATGCTAATTTCAGAACGCATTGAAAGAGGAGGCGTCGCGAAAAGCTCGTCCTCGTCGCTGGGGCCGCCGTCACCACCACCACCACCGTCCCGATCAGACCACGCCCGTGACCAGGCCGCCGAGGCCGGCACGCCCGGATGGCGTGGAGCCAGGGCGAATCGCAGGTGCGTTCGTGCTAGCGTGGGATGACCACATGGCCCCCTCCCCCTTTGTCAGTCCTGTGACGAGGGCCCGTGAGCCGCGGTACGCAACAAGCGAGCAGTGTCAACCAGCGTGGACTTCGACCAGTGGGCTTGTGTTCACCCTGCATGTGCCACGAGTGCGTTGCAGGCTGTGTCCAACCTACGTGTTGCCAGCCATAGTTGGCGAAAGTTGTGTGGTGCAATCCATGTGGTGCCATCTCTGTATGGTCAACGCCGCGTGATGCGACATGTGGAAAAGGCTGTGTGTGTGTGTCTGTGTGTCTGTGTGTGTGTCTGTGTGTGTCTGTGTCTGTGTGTGTCTGTGTCTGTGTGTGTGTCTGTGTGTTTCTGTGTGTGTGTCTGTGTGTGTCTGTGTGTGTGTCTGTGTGTGTGTCTGTGTGTGTCTGTGTGTGTGTCTGTGTGTGTGTCTGTGTGTGTGTGTCTGTGTGTGTCTCTGTGTGTGTCTCTGTGTGTGTCTCTGTGTGTGTCTCCGTGTGTGTCTCTGTGTGTGTCTCTGTGTGTGTCTCTGTGTGTGTCTCTGTGTGTGTCTCTGTGTGTGTCTCTGTGTGTGTCTCTGTGTGTGTCTCTGTGTGTGTCTCTGTGTGTGTCTCTGTGTGTGTCTCTGTGTGTGTCTCTGTGTGTGTCTCTGTGTGTGTCTCTGTGTGTGTCCCTGTGTGTGT